AGCTCTCGGGACGGGCTGATGGCGTCGCAGAAACGTCAGTTTAATGAAGTTTTTGTGTTTTTCCTCTGCAGTGACGTCTGGTATTTCCATGAACGAACGGGGACTTGACTGAACCCGCTCCTGGCTCCGCCTTCTGTTCCAGACGTGCTGATCCGACCCAGCATCCCATCCCAGGAGGAGGAGAACGGGAAAGAACTTCACTCTGACTTTTTTATTTTTTATTTTATTTTTTTACAGCCATCACACGTTTGTCAGCTTTGAAATTCAGCCGATGTCTTTGCTCGGATAGAGAACACACACTTCACTTTTTTTTTTTCGTTCGGAGTTCTTTGCAGGGAAACAGATGATATTTGAACTCGTCGAAGGGAGCTGAGAGAGAGAGAAGAGGTGGGTGTCGGGTGCACGGCTGTTTGGTTCTTGTCCTGTTTTGTCATTAATCGCGGATATAAGATTGTTTATTTGAATTCAGGTTTGAAGCTCAGCTGTAGCTGATGCAGTTGTGTGGGTTTGATGCAAATTAAGAGTTTGATCTTGCCTAAAGAAGGTCTTGAAGAAACTTTGCAGTAACTGTGATCTAAACAATTAGTACAATTTGAAACAATGGCCCTGAAAGCAAAAGTATTGTATGATTTCCACGCTGAGAACCCAGGGGAGATCTCCATAGCAGAGAACGAGTTGGTGACTGTGTTCACTGAGGAGGAGTTGGAGGGCTGGCTGGAGGGGGAGAACACCAAAGGAGAGACTGGCTTGTTTCCTGCCTCTTATGTTGATCTCATCAAGGACCACATCAGCCCCAGCTCCAGCAACAATGGCTTCTCCTCACCCAAAACCATAGCAGCCCAGTCCCCGGCCCGCACCTCACACACTTCCTCGGACTCTCCATCTCAGAGGGGGTTTAAGGTGGGCAGCGGTGGAGGGAGCAGCTTCAACACCAGCCACGGCAGCGATGACGACTGGGACGARGACTGGGATGACAGCTCTGCGGCGACGTACGAGCCCCAGGGTTTCGGCACGACCCCTCCCATGTACCCGGTCYCCACCTCTCTGCCGGGCCGCCGGAGCAGCCAGCAGCAGCAGGCCAAGAGCTCAGCCACGGTGGGGAGGAACCTCAACAGGTTCTCCACCTTCGTCAAGTCCGGAGGGGAGGCCTTCTTGCTCGGGGAGGCATCGGCGTTCGTGAAGGATGGGGACAGGATCATTGTGGTGATGGGGAAGCACGGACCGGAGTGGCAAGAGGACCCTTATCCCTTCACATGTACCATCGATGACCCCACCAAGCAGACCAAGTTCAAAGGGATGAAGAGCTACATGTCCTACGGTCTCACCCCAACCCACACCAATATACAAGTCAACCGAAGGTACAGTCTTCTCCGCTTTCACTACCTTCTTCCTCTAAACCAATCCTCAAACCTGTCTCTCCTGCCTGCAGGTACAAACATTTCGACTGGCTCTACGCTCGGCTCGTGGAGCGTTTCCCTGTCATCTCGGTGCCCCACCTGCCAGAGAAGCAGGCCACGGGCCGCTTCGAGGAGGACTTCATCTCTAAGAGGAGGAAGGGTCTGATCTGGTGGATGAACCACATGGCTAGCCACCCAGTGCTGGCCCACTGCGACGTCTTCCAGCACTTCCTAACGTGCGGGGCAGACGAGAAGGCCTGGAAGATGGGCAAGAGGAAGGCAGAGAGGGACGAGCTGGTCGGAGCCAACTTCTTCCTCACCATCAGGTACAGTAGGAGTTACTATTGTATTGTTCCCTTTCTTGATGCTATCTCTAGTTTGGTCTCCTTTTTGTTCCAAGTGTGGTCTTTTTTTTATCCTGTATCTCTTATTACTTTCTTAGTATCGTTTAAGTGCTTGATCTTTTTCGTCTATTTGTCTCTTGGCATTTAGAGTGGTCAGCAAAGTAAGAATTTCATTCCTCAGGGAAACSTTTRATCTGTGTATYTGACAATAAACACTTCCAATCTTGAATCTTGAGTATCACTGCTGAGGTAACACATCCTCCTGACTCGTCATATATTGACGCTTTTCCAAGGTTCCCTCTGCGTCTTATTTTGACACGTCAGGTACACCCGTCGCATCAGTTACTGACGCACCAGGCATTTCCGGGTTCCCTCGGCGTCCGAGTTTGACGTGTTGGGGTCTTTGAGTTGGGGTCAGTGGTTAATATATCAGGGTTAATGGTTAATTTTATGTAGTGGGGTCAGGGATAGAATGTCTAGAGTGAATAAAGGTAATTTTTGACTTTGGGACAGTTGATTTTTGTGCATTTTCTACACTTTCTGAAATTATGACAACAGATTCCGCCCTATCTCGTCAATAACTGATGTGAAGTGGGTACCCGACGCGTCAAAATCGGACGCAGAGGGAACCTTGGAAAAGCATCAATATGTGACGACTTGTGAGTGAAAATGGGTTGGCTGAGGAGCTTGAACCGTACCATGGTTTTATTAGAAGTTTGTAACGAGCGGACACTTTAAAGCCTTGGACTACTTGCTTTTTCAGATTCAGTCTAAGATTTTTAGGATTATTCCTCATCATATATGTGAATAAACAGCACTGCACTGCACCCCTAATTTTGTTGTGACACTAATTCCATTGCAGGAGTGGTAAGATGCTTATCATCATAATAGCTGCTATTATACCAGCAGTGCTTGCAAGTTTCAGCAGCATAGAGAATCACAAATATGCACCAATGAAATAAGTCAGAAGACAATGAAATGCAATTTAAGGTCATTAAGGTGTAACTGGACCACAGCTCAGATATCAGCTGTATGGGAGCAGTTAAAATACTGACAGATAATAGGACAAAGCTGAAGCTCAAAAACGTTAAGGTTTAGTTTTCTCTTCTCCAATTGGCCCAGAGGCTGAGATAAAAAGTAGATAGAGAAAAGTTTGAACACAATTTTTTTTTTTCGTTTTTAGAAGTTGAAATAAATCCCTACTACAGTGCTTACTTCTCTATATATGGGAAGTTTTATAGAGTTATTGTCTTGTGGTGTCAGTCATGTGTAAATATCCAATTTGTCCAATTTGATTGTTGTAAAGAAAGTTGACAGAAAAACATGACAAGGTTCATGAGAGGTCATTCAAACATGACACCAGTTTGTTCGGTTGCCTTCTGATGGTTGGAAAGCTGTGCATGTCTTAAAGTGACTTTAGTTTAATTTTTMATTAGTAGGCTAGTCTGATAGTCTAAAATAGATGCCATGATGAGACCGTATCCTTGAGCCTGACCTCTAGCCAGCAACTGGAACAAGCAACTAGAAATCCRTTACTGTTCATCTAAATGTGTCCCACATGGAAATGGAATGTTATTTTTCTTTATTTGCTGATTTTTTTTTCAGTCAAATTTAAAATATATATGTATTCTCACAGAAGCATCACCACCTTACAAAACTGAAATCAACACCAAAGCAGTCTGTGCTAAAACACACTTCTCTGAGCATGAGTAAACTACCAAAAGGATTAAGCTGAAAAAAAAAGCTAGGACTGAAACAATTGCCTTTTCCCTTTTGTTTTATCAACAGCACTCCTGCTGTTCCTCTGGACCTCCAGGAAGTGGAGAACAAGATTGAAGGCTTTAAAACCTTCACCAAACGAATGGATGAGAACATCGTTGTTGTGAACACGACCATCGGCGAGTTTTCCCGCAAGCAGATGACGGGCTTCAAGAAGGAGTACCAAAAGGTCGGTCAGTCCTTCAGACTTCTCGGACAGGCTTTTGAGATGGATCAGCAGGCCTACTCGGCGGGCCTGAACAGAGCCATCGCCTACACCGGCGAGACGTACGAGACCATAGGAGAGTATTTTGCAGAGCAGCCCCGTCAGGACCTGGAACCTATTTCTGATCTGCTGGATCTTTACAAAGGACATCTGGCCAATTTTCCTGACATTGTTCACGTACAGAAAGGTCAGTGCCTACGTGTAACTTGCTTGGAATTTTGCGGTGCACAATGTGAAAAGATTGCATCAGAAGTTTCATGCGTATGAAAATCTTGCGTATATGTTTCCTGCAAAAGTGCAGAGTGAATGCTAAAGGGGACATATCCACCTTTTTTAGCTGTTACGTATGTTTTGTTGTGTACTTGGAGTCTTTAGAAGTGCAAAAAAGTTTATTTTAGTTTCTCCTGATGCAGCAGAGATAGCTTTATGTTCTGTTTGGGTCGTATTTTTCAACCCYTTCAGTTTTCTCTATTGTCTATGACGTTTTCTGAATTATTACGTTCGGTGGTCATCATTCTCCCCTGGCTCTGGGTCAGACTCTGGCTCCAACATGTAAGGCTGGAGGGACAAGTCTTTCCTTGTTGACATCATTTAATTAGTTTGTAAATAAAACATTTCTGTGCAGCTAGATAACCACAAACCCCACTATCAAACTGGAATGGTATGGGATCAATCTTGTGCCAGCAGGAACTGAATTTGAATTGCTCACATTCAATCTGAATGTGCATAATTTGAAATTGAATGCATTGGTTTGAAAATAACTTTCACTAAATTGAAACTGAATTTAATGGTTTGAATTTGAATTAAGTTGCTTTGAAACTGTATTTTGGTTTATTAAAAAAAATCAGTTTGGCTACTTTCACTTTCATTTCCAAAACTCTGATTTTTGTGTCCCACATCCTGGTCCTTGAGAAAGCCAGCCTGAGTAATCAAACACAGATCCACAGATTCATGTTTCACTTTGGTGAAGTTTTCCATCTGTAATGTAACAGAGTTGGTGCAATCCACCGTAAAATGACAAAAACAGACAGTTATTTTATTGTAGTGATTAATTTTACTTATAGAAAATCATACATCCCATCATGGATCAATCAGTTAGTAGCAGCATCTGATCAATATGTGATCCATTATGTGATGTAAATGTAACATTTACAACATATAGGTAAAGTTAGTCACTGCAATAAAATAATTTTCTGTTTTTGTCACTTTTACGGTGGATTGCATCAACTCTGTTACATACAGAAGGGAAACTTCACCGAAGTGAAACGTAAATCTGTCGATCTGTGTTTGATTACTCTGGCTGGCTTTCTCAAGGACCAGGAAGTGTGAAAAAATCTGAATTTTGGAACTGCAATTGAATTATGGAACTGAAAGTGAAAGTAGACAAACTGGATTTTTAATAAACCAAAATATAGTTTCAAAACAAATTAATTCAGATAAAAAACTTTAAATTCAGTTTCAATTCAGTAAAATTCATTTTCAAACCAATGCATTCAATTTCAAACTGAAAGTGAAAGTAGACAAACTGGATTTTTAATAAACCAAAATACAGTTTCAAAACAAATTAATTCAGATAAAAAACTTTAAATTCAGTTTCAATTGAGTAAAATTCATTTTCAAACCAATGCATTCAATTTCAAACTATGCACATTCAGATTCAATCTGAGCAATTCAAATTCAATTTCTGCTGGCACAAGCTTTATCCCATAACACCGGTCTGGGAGCTAGAAGGGGGCAGGGTAAGTGCCTCGTTTGGATTTAAAGAGACAGTATCAAAGCGAGCCGCTTTGAGACACGCCTCAGAAAAGGGGTGAAAGGGGGTCTAGTAAAGTTACAATAAGGAGGAATTCAGACCAAAGCATTGCAGTTCCACTTTATGTAGACCCTAACTGAATGATTTTAATGTGATAAAAGAAGGATTTAAAGGCATGATTTGTTTCCTTTAAGGCTAAAAGGAGCAGAACTCTTAAGTAAAAGAAACAAAAATGTTAAAATTCGAAAGCAAAAATTAGAAAAAATTGACCTGTCCAGGGTGTACCCCGCCCCTCGCACTGTGACTGCTGGATATGGGCACCAGTGACCCACGCGACCCTGAAAAGGAAGAAGCGTGTACAGAAAATGGATGGATGGATGGATGTAAACAATAGTGTAAACACTGATTCAGCAAAAACAGTTAATTCTTCAGTATCCTTTCAAGAATGGAAATAGACAGACGAGTGTCCTTTTCTGTTCATTRAACAGTGGTCTTCAGTCTTCACGCTACAGGCTGTAAATTCTTTAAAAACAGAAGATCAGCTTTCTTCATTTTTCACTTGCATCCAAAGAATTAATGATGTGTCTTCAAGGCATCCTGTCTTCAYTCTCCCTGTCTATAAATCATGTCAATATAAAAAGACAAAAAAAAAAAGAAGAAAAGAACATGCAAAGCCAGATTCTTACTGTTTCCATACCAAGAGCAACATCTGTTTTCATTTACACAACTACAGCGCAAATCTGGGTAGAAAACTGAAACCCCTGGGTCACTAAGACGAGTTCTGAGCCTCACAAAAACAACACAGAGGGGCGACACACAGGCGCAAACACACACGCACACGCACACACACGCACGCACGCACGCACGCACGCACACACGCACACACACACACACACACACACACACACACACGCACACACGCACACACACACACGCATACACGCACACACACACACGCATACACAGAGGCATTTACAAAACATTTCCAGAGGAATCAGCTTGTTAGTTCCTCACAGGTTGGGAGGAGGGGGAATGGCTGCTGGCATGCACAGGCCGGACGTTTGCCAAACCAAGAGGCACTGTTTCTATAGTCCTCTCAGCTTTCTTCTCATGTTACAATCACACCTCCAAACTATGGAAACGACCTCAATTTGGAAAAAAGTCCTTCTGGGTGACTAGATATAACCCCCCACCCCACCCCTGTTTTGATTTTATTAGCAAATATGTTTAATGTCCTCCAGAGAGTACTAAATATAAAAACACTTTATTTACTATGCAAATCAGAGCTATTATTAGCATGTCTTTATGGAGCATGGTGTTGTGGGAAATGTGTTGAACACTGCCTGGCAAAAAAGAAGTCGCCACAAAAAAATTTAAAAAAAGTCTCACTCTCTAATATTTTGTTGGACGGCCTTTAGCTTCGATTACGACACACATTCTCACTGTGGTGTTGTTTCGATAAGCTTCCTAGACCTGACCAACTGTAGCAACCCCGGATCATAGCACTGCCCCCACAGGCACAGAGGCACTAGGCATGATGGGTACATCCTCGAATACCATGGGTCCCCACTCTCCTTCCAGTTTTTAATAATGTGTTGGATAGTTCTTAGCCTAATTTTAGTAGTTTCTTCAATCTCCTCAAATGTTTTCTCTGCTTGATACCAATGTGTTGAACCTTCTTAAACAGATGGGCAACTTTTCCACAACAGGATGTGTCTTTCCACATGGTTGTTTAAGAAATGAGAAGCAACTCATTGCACCAGTTGAGGTTAAATAACGTAATTGCCCATACAGTAATGAACTAATGGGAGGCTCGTACATATTTGCTTAATAAAATCCAGGTGGTGACTTTTTTTTGGCCAGGCAGTGCATTTTTCTTTTCTGTAATTCCAAAAACATACAWTCTGAAGTATCAATATATTTACACTCCAAAAAAGAACTAAAACATGTGTAGTAATAGCAACATTGACCTAATGATGCTTTTGTGAAACACAACTTGACTAACCGATGAYCAGCTGTGAAAATTGTGCAAATAATTAATGCAAAATTCCCCCTTGCAAATCATCATCGGCTTTATCAGTCCAGATGAACGCCCTCAGTGCAGGGTCGGAGCGTGTTTTGCCGCTGCCGTCATCGGAAACCTGGTTTTTGAACGTGTCAGCTCAGTAACACCCATGACCTCATAGCCCTGACAGATAGTCTACTCCGCTGTCTGGATTGTGAAATGAGCACGCCTGACTAAAGATTGCTAGTTTAGTCTCACTTTCCACAACAGCTAACTTAGCAAGATAATAATAAACTATAATAATAATAATGGTTTGATTACACACTTAAGCTCTGTGTTTTTTTTTAAGATAACCTTCACGCTTCTTTTAGTGGCTCTGAGTTCCACAGATACTGCAGTTGACCTTGTAATACAGAGCCAAGACATTTCTCCAGTTGCAAATTTGAAAAAACATTATCACAATAGTGCTAAAAAGAGAGAAAACTAAACTTAAGATGAGCTTCTTTGTTGTCTTTAATATCGTGTTACAGTATCAGCAGTCTCAGTTTGGTTTTAAGATGTAAAAGGAAACATCTGACTTGAATGAGCTGAGTTTCCTGGGCTTCGTGTCCCATGTTGCCCCTGAACTGCAGGAATGCAGGCTTTGTATTAGGTTCCCCTCCTCCTCCTCCTTTTCTTCCCTTTTCTTTCCTCCTTCCCTTCTGTGGATATTTCCCACAGAAACAGCGGTACAAAAGTTCAGATTACAGCGCTGCAGTCGCCTTGAGGGGAGCAAAACCCTAGTGTAGGTGTAATGCTTTGGTTTATCTTTTTTTAAATGGGGAAACAGAAAAAGCGAGCATGAGTTAGTGAATTAGGACCAGCTTGTTCATCATTTCCTTCACACGGTGCCATGTCAGGGCTTCGCTCCCACTTCTCCATTCCCCTTTTATTAGTCAGGCCTGTTCAAACGTTACCACTTCCCCACTAAAAGTTGAGTCACATCAAACATTATGAGACGTGTCTGGGTGTTGGGCAATGTCAAAGAAAAGAAGCCTGGAAAAATCTAACAGCCAGCTCATTTTTAGAGTTAACAACTCACACCCACTAAATCACACTGAAGTCCTACTATAGGTCCTCTTGCTGAAATATTGTATGCTTACAAGATAGGCCAATAGAGCTTTAATTGGCCAAAAAAGTTTGATTTTGTAGACATACTGTGAACCATACAGAGATTTTCTAAGGAAGTCAAAATAATAAATAGTAACAGAAATCCGCAAAATAGTTCCTTGTCTTGGTTCTCAGTTACTTGTCGGGTTAGAAAGGGTGCTTTTGGAGTGGCAGGCAGAGATGGCGGTTCCCATWCTTGCAGAGCTGTAATGCATGCCATCTGTTTTTCTGTATACCTAAAATGTCATTTGTTTCTTTATCCTCAGTACGTTTTGTGGTTTGTGTTCATAAACAGGATTTTAAGCTGAGTTAAAGAGGCTTTTTAGTTTGGTTCCCCCAGACAAGTCTCATAATGTTTAATGTGACTCAGTTTGGTTGGGAGTAGTGGTTCACATAAGAAAGGAAACACCCTTTTAAAAAGTTGATACCCAATAAATTGTTTGCAGCTCCTTTCAAGAAACATGCAGCTAATTTTTTGACGCACTATGTGTCAGGCTCAAAAGGTCGGGCTGGTTGGTTTATAGTGAATCAGAAGAGCCGACTCCCAATCAAGTGAGAGCCAGCTCCCCAATCTTTGTTTTCCTTTCGCTGGTCTTTCAATCGCATTCGTACGGAGCCTGCGAAAAGACATGGGGAATTTTGTTTTGTTTTGCGTTCCCAAGCAGTAGTATTGCGTTACCTCGCAATACGTTTTGCGTTCCCTCCCAAAAGTCGTTTAGTTGTGCCTACCAGTTTATTAACAAATTCACATGCTCACCATTATATTTGATTTAATTGACTACTCTAATTCAGCTTCAGGATGAATATATCACACAGCCATCCATGGAAGTATGCCAATATTTCAACTCAGTGTAGCTAGGCAATATCAGTGTCAATTTCCCGAACTTGTGCCGACACATCCTTTTTCGGTAACTGGATATTTCAAAATAAAAGTCTGATTTAATTCAGTTCATACAAAACAAACCTTTGCGTAGGAACGTAAAACAATATTGCGAGGTAACGCAAAGGTATTGCAAGGGAACACAAAATAAAATAAAATTTCCGCATGTCCCCTCGCGAGTTCCATATGTTCAAGGATAAAGGACATGGGTGGCAAACTTAGACCTCAAGAGACATTACCCTTCATGTTTCTCTTGTTTCTCTACTCCACACACCTGATTTGAATGAATGGGTGATTAATCTGCAGAACTTGAAAAGGTACTTCAGTCACTGAATCAGGTGTATTGGAGCAGAGAAACAAGTAACACATGCAAGATAGCGACCCTTGAGCACCAGAATCGCCCATCCCTGTTATAGAATCATACATTTATATGAAAACAGATGGGAGGGGGACAGACATGACAGTCAAATGGAGCATCTGTCTGTCCCCTCAGGGGCCCAGAATATTTAATATGTTGAATAAAATTAAAAGTTTGATTAAAATCTTTAAAGAATAAGGCTACAGATTATAAATTGAGTTGTTTGGTAGTTGGCTTTCTTTGGGAGCTGTTCCACAACTTCCCACCATGATGGCGCAGTACTAACATGCAATGTGAGTTTTTCTCCCCCTGAAATAGAAATATAACCCTTTGTTTCATTTTGCCATCATTTAACAGGTGCACTAACCAAGGTAAAAGACTGTCCGAAGCAGGAAGGCGAGCTCCACGAACGCTGCAACATCATATCTTGTGCCACGCTGGCAGAAATCCAGCACTTCCACCGAACACGCGTGCGAGACTTCCGCTCGCAGATGCAACACCACCTCCGCCAGCAGATCAGCTTCTTCCAGAAGATTACCGCCAAACTAGAGGATGCACTGCAGAAGTATGACTTTGATCAATAATAGTCTTTTGAAAGAATAATAAAAAAACAAACGAACAAAAAAAAACAATGGGTTTTTCATCTGGCACAAGCCACAGGACAAGATGCTGGATTGTTTGAATGACTGTGACGAGTTTACCAGCTGCAGCTGCATATCTGACAGCTCAGCAGTTCTGTGGAAGGTATTTAAAAACCTGTTTCAGCATGCTGCTTGAATCACAACTTCTGGGTCATGCCTTTGCCTCCACTGCTTCCAAGTGCTTCATGTATGTAGTGAGTTTAAACCAAACTYAACAAGGACTGAAAACCCCTTAATCTCTAGTGGCTCGAGCTCAAAGACTAGATTTAATTGACTTTTTTATGATCATTATCTCTGTTTACTTTTACTTGAAGACCTACTCAGTATTGTTCGGTTGCACAGTTTGCAGATGTTTGTGAAAGGTGGCAACGTGGGCATTATCTGCTCTATTCATTCCAGTTAGTAAAAATARGATTTAAAATTTTGACCTCTTGTGTCTTTTATAGCTCACAAACTAAAAGAGCGTTTTGGATGTCACGTCTCATAAAATGGGATATCAAAAATGTTTGGAGAAAAATTGCTTTACATGTAACCTGGTACTAAAATGAACTCACAATTGTTTGTTGTGATCACTATTTTGCCGCTGAACCCAGAGGAACTGGCAAAAGAAGAAGAAAAATAGTATTTCTGGTAAATGTGGTTCTTTCAGGCGTGGGTCCACAACTGTTTACTGTCAGTGAATTTTATAGGGTTTACAACAAGACAACCAACTATTCTCTGGTTGTTATTCAAGCTTTTATTATTATTATTATCATCATTATTATTATTATTATTATTATTAAATTGCTGGAACAAATTTCTTTTACTGACAGAATTTATATAAAAAAATAAAAGTGAATTATATATATATATATATATATATATATACATATATATATAATGTTTGTAATGTGTTCTCTTTTTCAGCATCACCTGGCTTGTATCCTGTCTTTACATTATTGTTTAATTCTTTTAAATAGCATAAAATGATTATAATAGTCTGAGGTTTTAGCAGCTGTTTTAAATAGAAATCTTTACATTTTAATGTTCAAAATGTGCACTATATTTTTGTGCTGCTTAAAAATACAATAGCAACACTTTTTCTGTTCTTTGATTAGATGTGTCACAAAGGTATGATTTGAAGTTTAAAATCTGTACTTAATGTTTTTGTCAAGCCAGAGATTTCCTGAAGAAGAGCAGTGTTTAACGTTGAAGACAGCAGCATCTGTGTTCCTGATATCTGACACCACAGATCACAATCTGCAGATCAGTTTACTTAAACCGCAGGCTCTTTATTATTTAGAGCTACACTTTTTTTTTCCACTCGCAGCTTAGATTGCTCTTCATATTAGCATTTTAATTTATTCATACTGTGTGGAAAAGTTTTWATTTCCACCTCTTTTTGTTCCTTAATCCCAAGAAGAGCGGTTGTCTTGCATTCCTTTAAAATAGTCACAGGCAGTAGTCCTGATGGTCTCCCAAAGTGCTTTTTTTAAATAGGTTTGCTGATTTTTCTTCTGCAGGTAACTGAAAATGAAAAATATGTCCTTAAATTAAAGAGGAAACAGGAAAAAAAGAAGTTGCAAAATTAAAAAAAAATTCTACTTGACAGTGGTGCTTAAGTTTGAAAGAGGATTAGGGCCACTGGGAAAAAAATCTGAATTTAATCTTAGAATTCTGACTTTCCTTCCCAGAATTAGGAAAAAGTCAGAATTCAGAGAAAATACCATTTTTTTTCCTGTGGCCCTAATCCTCTTTTGCACTTAAGTGATTTCCTGAAGAACAGAAAAAGTCAAAAGATCTAAAAGATGTACCATTTTTAGCAATCAATAGTCTACCAGCTCCATCTAATCCATCCTTTTGGAAAGAATTTGTTGGTGCTAAGACAAGATTTTGTCATATTTTACAGATGCACCAAAAAAATGTTATAATAAGAAGTTTTGCAATAGCAAGTAAATGTGCCACAATTGTATGTAGATTGCTGAATTATTTTGTCAGTTAGATTAATAAGTTACCTATTTATCTGTTTCAAAAGGTCTTGCAAGATGGTTTATTTACGTTTGTCCATCGATATAAAGTTTTTCCAGTTTGCATGTTCACCACGAAAACATCAACAAAATGTGACACTAAAGAAAGGCAATCTGAGTTAGAAATCAGAAGACAGCTTCCACCTGACAGAACAGAAGAGCATGCTTGAACGTAGCACAAACGGCAATAAAGAAACGTTTTATTAAAAACATTTTTTTTATTTATCAACAATGTGAGTTTAAGGAGTTGACAACAACGTTATACATTTACACCCAACTGAGAGTTATTCAGATTCTTTCTGGTTATACTATAAGAAGCAGCTACGTGATCGTAGTTATCATGAAAGTTTATACATTTCTTTTTCTGTATTTTGTTCTGCTCAAGGTCCGGGGGGTATTAGAGAGGCAGGTGGTGGTTGTGTTTGAGCCTGAACAGGACATTAGGCCATTACCTATCTAACTAAAGTGTACACAAACTAAACAGTCATTTATCTACCGGAAGTTTCAATTTCCTGTTCATCAGTAGTTAAAAAAATATATAAATCTTCTTATAACTGATTTGCTGTTTCCTCAACAGCATATCTAGTACAGAATCTAGTTGAACTGTTACTTTATCTTGAATTTGCAGAATTTTATTTATCACACCAAAGCTATGAATGCATATAAACTGGAGGTCACACATTGCATATTTTATTTATTTTTTTCAAAAAGTACATGCTAGCTGTGCCTAACATGGCCCCACAATGTTTCTAAAAACCAGAAATACAGTAACCCTGTTGTGACAGTTTCAGACATTATACCTCTAAGGCACAGTTTATGTATAAATTATGTTTTCCTAAACCCAGTATTGATTGTTTTTAAGTGGTGGAGTAGAGGATGGAGATTTCCAGGAAAATCTTGCAGGAGAAACTGGGGATGAATTACCACAAGTAACGTTGTTTATTTCATTACTGTTAAAGCCTCTAATATGTCTATCTCCACCAGATAAATCTGATTCAAAAGGCCCCCAGAAGGTCATTCCAGGAGCCAGACTCCTCCTAGGACTCATGGGTACCCTGGGAGAGGTTGGGCAACTTGCAGAGCCCAGTGGGGTGACCATAACACTTGGCATAGCCATGCTGCGCTCTGGCCGTCCCAAGTAGGGACTGTCCTCAGTGGGTGGCTGAACTGCAGCCAGTTCTTGCATCAGCCGCTGCCGGGCCTGTTTCTCTTTGCGGTGGCGGAACACCAGGATCAGAACCACAAGGATTATGATGAGAAGCAAACAAGCTAGCAGTGGCAAGATGATAAGAAGTGGGTCAGAGGCAGGGCGGGGGAGAATCTCAACATGAACCAGGTCTGTGTTTGGATGGTTTATTGGAATGTGTTCTGGGACAGGAAGAGGGTGAGGCTGTGGGGTATGACCGTTCCCCTTTCCTGTTGCCTCTGGGCTGCTCCCCAGTCTCCCTCCATGAGTCCCACTCTGTGTTTGGTTCCCCAAGCGGTTATGAGGCTTTGCCTTACGCTGGGTCTTTTGTTTTCTTTGTGACAAAATGTGAGGTTGCAAACCTTCCCCGGCCGCACTCTGTGTTACAGCCCCTTGTCCACCTCTTGCAGTGGTCCTGTTGTGTATTTGGAAATGGGTTGTTGTGTGTTCATGACTTGAACCATCCACTTTATTCAAAGTTTTCACGCCATGATGCATCTGGCGGTGGGGAAAGATGGTAAAGTGAAGTTCTCCCTTTGCCGGCTGGACATTTCCAGCCTTCAACAAGAAGGTAAAAGAATCATTGAGAGGTGTGGCAGGTGCATTGCCTCGAGCTGTTGTGACTCTGGATTTATTATTGTGAAGCTGGCTGTCGGAGTCACTGAGGGTTTCCTCGATGGCAACTCGGCCTTGCACGACATCTCTGAATGTAAAAGTCTTCAGGACTTCTGCAGCTTGGTCAACATCGTAGGTAATCTGTATATGTGAACACGGATACAGCAAATGAGAGCATCAGCAATGCCATAATACGACAATTTTATTCTAACTTAAACTGAAATCTTGTACCAAAATTTACAGCAATCAATTTTACCTTGACTAGTTTTCCATGTTTTGGTGGAGACAGAACTTCAAAGACTGGGTTGACTCTGCTGATTCTGGCCAACTCTGAGGCATCAATCATGGCTTTCCCCAGTTTCACGGCAATACCACTTGGAACTCTAACTGGTTCTCTCAAGTAGATCAGAGGCTGTACAGTCACATTCACTGTCTGCCCTGTTAAAGTTCCATAATCTACACCAGGAGATGATGCCGAGACGGAGATTTTGAAGCTGTCCTCTGATGCACTAAGATCCGTCATGTGATAAACAACGTGACCAAACTGGAGGTCCTCGTGGCAGAAGGTGATCACTTCTTGGTCGTTTATAGCAATACGTCCATGAAGTGGGTGTGTGGTGACTGTGTAGGAGATGTTTGCTTGTCTTTGGCCATTGGTTTGAGCTGCCAGCTGGTTGGGAGTCAGTACCACAGCGGTGCGGCCTTGAACTAATGACAGCCCAGTGTTGTTCACCATAGATATGGTGGGTTTAATCACCTCCAAGCTAAACAGTTTGTAGAGCGGACGGTGGTGACCATCGGTTACATTGAAATAAAAAACTCCTGTTGAGGATTCACCCTGAAAGAAAAACATGGAAAGAAAGATTGTTTCCTCAGCACACTGACCTACTTAAAGTTTTATAGTATATCACACATGCAACGTTGTACAAATGACCTGAGGCATTCAAATTGGTTTCACCTGCTGTATAAAATGCAGTCGGCCATGGTTGACATCATACTGAGTAAAAGAGGTGACTGGTTCCAGTCTTTCTCCCAATGTCAGGTAGCCATTGTTGGGCTTGCTGATCACAAGGTAGTGCAGCTCCTCTGGTGGTGTATCATGGTCCTCAACCTGAATGTTTAGGGTGGGAAAATTGTTCTAAAAAAAAACTCCAAAAGGAATGTCCACCAAGACAATCACAACAAAAAAGGGTCAAACCTGGAGATTATCCGGTCCAAGAACAACTCTCTCTCCAACAACAACTTTCATACTGGGTGCTCTGCTTCGGATCAGTGGTGGATGGTCATTGACAGGTGTCACTGTGATGTTAAACATCTCTGTCACTGAAACTCTGTCTTTACCAGCACGGCGGTGAGAAACGGTGTCAAGTGATGGAAAGGAAGATGCTGAAGCCGAATAGAGAGGGGAAAATAAAGTAGAAGAAGAAGAATCCGAGGACACAACAGACAAAGACGATAAACGGGAAGGAGTGGAATGGTGGAAAGGAGCCACCCAGGCCCGAAAAGTGAAGCTGTCGTTAATTGTTTCTGAGTCGTCGTGGATATATGTGATGCCAAACTTGTTCAGGGTGGCTTGTGAGAAATCTGGTTGGTTTCTGTGAAAAAAAGAGATTTCAAAACTCATTTATGTTTGGTATCGTCCAGACTGTGGCTATGATTCTCAGGCATTTAAAGTTCCATCACTTGCTTATATGTGATGCCTTCTGTTTTATCAGTTTCTTAAAAAAAGAATAGCTACGCACCTGGTGAGATTATGTTCCCGTATAGACAGAGCTCCATGTTGAGGCAGAGAAATCACTCGATACATGACATGGTGGTCTTTTCTCTGGGACTCTGGAACATTTCCCAGCAAATTAGAGGCATCCAGCTTGGAACGATCAATGGTCACACTGCCACCTTCTTTCACCACAGCACCTGAGGGAACAATACGGATGGTTAATGTTGCCCTCCTGAACTTTCTTCATCTAGTCCAGGAACAAGATGCTTGTCATTCTGAAAGAGCACTGGTACCAGCATTGTTCAGAAGTCTGGTCTTGAGTTGAGAGTTGCCCTGATGCTCATTAGCTTGGTAGGAGATTAAAATGGAGAAGGTGTGTGGAGGAAGAAAAGCAGGCGGAGAAGTCACAGTGAAAGAAAAAGAGTCTGATGCTGACCACCCGACTGTCTCCGGCTTGTTCTGATCATAAAGGATAATGCCATCATTCACCTGAGGGAGAGTGAAAGAATTAAAATTAAAAAGTGTGGAAAAAGAAAAATATACTTTTCTAAAACATTATTCCGGGTTTGTCAATTAACCCTTTCAAAGTTAAACCTGGGTCTTACTTATCTCTCACTGAATATTTACACTTTTGTTACTTGCCAATATTTTTATTTAACTTTTCACACACACATTCCTACCATGCTCTGAGTGAATGTGGAAATGTTTCTGAAAGAGTTGTCAGGCATTCGTCGGACCAGGCGGCCAAGTTTAGGAGGAGAAGTTACAGCAAATATTACAGACTGAGTTCTTCTGATGTTGCTGACATTGTTGGTTACAACTTGAAGCTCCTGATCTGAGATTGGTGTCACAGATCCTATGGGAGGAACAGAAGACTCGATGAGAAAGAGAAACCAGACGGGGACAGTGAATGATCATAACTGTACAAGTAAAACGTACAAGTTTTAGAAGTGTTCAAAACTACATTTTCAAACAAATACATAAGTCAAGATGTGCTCACAGCAAGCAAATTCAGGTGTTTTAGTTGGTTTTTGAGCTGGGTTCCTTATCTCCAGTGATAAGAAGCCTTTATACCTCAGCATACAGAGACATGATGGAAATGCTTCTAACTTTGTGGCAACAATTTGAGAAAAACTCCTATTTACTTACATGACTATGCCCCATTGCATAAAGCAAGGCTCTGACCTCAACCACATTGAGGAACTTAAGAAGGACATGGCATCAGACCTTCTCATCCAATATCAATGCCGTGCCTCTTAAATGTTCTACAGAATGAACGAGCGCAATTTCCTACAGAAACACTCCAAAATCTTATGCGATTCCCAGAAAGAGTAATAGCTACTTTAGGTGAAAAGGGGCACTAATGCCAGCATGGGGCTAAAGGCTTTTCTTGTCAAAATGTATTTTTTTTAATTTCATAGAGTTATAACTAGTTATAGTCACAATTCTTTGTATATTTTTGAGAATTTTCAGTTTATAAAAATCTCCAACTGTATCCATTCACCATACCATACCATACCATACCATACCATACCATACCATACCATACCATACCATACCATACCATACCATACCATACACTACTGTTTCAAAATGCTGCTGAGAAAGAATTGGCTTTAACCAGCTTCCTCAAAAAGTAAAAGCTTGATTTAACCACTGCTCAGATGTGATTTTCTAACTTTCAAGGATCAACTTTTACCCCTAAGTTTGTAACAGTTGGCCTGATGTACTGGGTCAATGAACCAACATCTACATCGGATGTCTCAGCGGATCTTCCAAAGACCATCATTAAAAAGCCCTCATTCATTGGTTTGACTAAACTGTTTATTGAGTAGTGAATTATAGAATCTGAGGGTGGTATACCTGGATAGACCTCCATGGGGTGGTTCCTCTGCATGGTGAGAACCAAAGCATGAGCAGTTGTGCTGAAGATCTGACGAGGAGCAACGTTCACTCCGTCATTGACCTGAAAGTGAAAACCACCTGATAATGGACCTGTGCAGAAGAAAGGACATGATTTAACAAACGCACATGTTAGTAAAAGGATCCCGCTGACACAGACACCACCATATGCGTACCATTGTGTACAAACACCAGCTGTCTGCTTTGGATGTGAGTTTGGGTGAAGTTCAGGATGTGACGGGAGGGGGCACTCTTCAGAGCCAAGTACCCATTGCTGGGAGGTGTGATAATGAATTCCAGCCCCTCAGGTGGAGTGTCAGTGTCTTCTGCACTAAGTTCATTCGTGGTTATCTCCGTTACTGAACCCATCCACATCTGAAGAACAAAAAGGACAGGCTGGAATCCACACAGTGATTTTCTTCAAACGTACATTTAGAATAAGCATGTCCCAAAGAAAGAATGCGTGATGCCACACATATTTTGTTTATCTGGGTGGTAAAGCAACAAAATGATAAACAGACCACCCATTAAGTGTGGAGCATAACTCAGGCTGAACACTGAACCTTCTTAGATACAAACTTCATATCAACAACAGCTGATAGTAATTTATTGGGGGGATATTTCTAACCTTCAGGCCTTGATTGGTTGTGACAACAGGAGTCTCATCATTGACTGGTGTAACAATGATGTAAATGGTACACGGCAGGCTGTGCTTCTTTATTTCTGTCTGGTTGGCCACAATGGTGAAGTTGTCCCTCAGTGTCTCACTGCCATCATGGACATAAGAGATGTACTCATGCTCTACCTGGAACCAAATGTTGGACAAAAAATAATGTTGCAAATTATTTTTGCTCAATATTGATGGATATTTTCTTATAGAGAAAGGTGTTTTATCATGCATGTTTAGATTTGTCACTGTATAAAGCTGGTCATACTACACTCATGCATCTGTTTCAAATGCTAACAATCTTTAACAGTTCTATGACAAGCAAACATCTTGAACCAAAATACATGTTAGATGTAGACATAAAGGTTGTTTATAGACGTGTGTTTCCTGTGCTCAGTCAAACCTCAGTGTGAGTGAAAGCATTGATCGGCATCCCTGGAATCCGGCTGTGCTCCAAGTGTCCAAATCTTGGTGGAATGATTACTTGGTACAAGAAATTCATCCCTGAGAAGTGATGACTTGCAACCTTGATGACCTTAGAAGTGAGAGGCTGGGACGTCCCCTCGTCAAGGACCAAATTAGACACCTGAATGGGCAGAAGAAAGAACTAAATGACAGTACAGTTTTGGGGTCGTTACAGTTTAAAAATCAAATTGGCCTATGTTTTTAGAGTAAGAAATAATTAGTTATAAGCATCTGTTTCAACGTTTGGTACCTGTAAAGGAAGGAGGATTGGTATGATATCAATCAGCAGCATGATGGGTCCAACCTTTGTGACCCCATTGGTTGCCTCCAACAGAACAGAGTCATTAGAGAACACTGCAGCCTGATGGTCATAGATGATCAATCCCTGGTTGAGATCCTCTTGGGTGAAAGAAGTTAAAGGCTGCTCCTTACTACCCGGGACAGAGGACTGGATAAAAAATAAAATAAAAATCAAGGATTATCTCTATGTGAATTATTGGGTTATTAAATGCTACTAGGGTCCAGCTTTGGATATTTTTTATCAGATGGGCAAAGAAGTCGACATGGTCAAAATCTAAAAAAGCTTTTGTCTTTGAGAAAAATAAATTTGTTCTAGTTTTAAGGGTATAAGTTAGCTTTTCTTACATTTTATGAAAAACTTCTTTTATATTTATATGAGGAAGCCTCATCAGTTTGCAAGTAAATCTAGCTAAAGTACACAACTTTAAACCACACAGAATATAGGCCCCAGTGATCCCCATGATTACCCTAAAATAAGGAAGTGGGTTAAGATAATGGATGGATACATGGATAATAGTACTGCAATTTGTGGAAATTCACCAATGGTACAAGCGATAAAAATGTGTAACAAACAAAATAATATATTTTTTTTAAATCAGCACCTGTGTAGTCAGGAAATCCAATGTTTTGCTGTTAAATGGTCAAAAACCTTTAGATCCTTTAATTAAACTTGTCTAATGATTGACTGATAAACGAATTAAATATTTTTTAAACTGTTAGTACAGCACCATCATGCGGCCAATTACAAAACATCAATGCAATAAAAGRTGAAAAATGTTAACTTCATTTTGGAAGCAAGACTTTTCTTCACATTTTAAACTTGTCAAAAAGCAGCTCTGTAGTAGATTTACCTTATGTAGGTGCTGCTTTTCTCCTTTTACATGATGATTCTTTTTGCCAGTGGATAATTTAAAAATCATGCCTGCTGCAGGAGATTTGATGACAGTAAATATCATCTCTGAGGGTAGYTTGTCCTTGTGCACCACCTGCAGGAAAAAAAAAGTTTTTAAAGAAAGAAAAATCAGATCACACATCTTGGTGCAATAATGTGTGACATAAATGAGCGGAACATTTCAAGAAATTTGGTGATCACAGAACAAAATATTTGCAGTCTTAGAAACCCTCTGTCTTACCTCTAAATGTCCCCTTGTTATTGAGACATTCTGTCCCTGTCCCACCACAACTGGGTGGTTGCTTTTGACAGTTGGAGGTCTCTGATGACTCTCCAGGTAAATCTTTACAGGRACTCCAATATCCAGATGCACTTCCCTCCTGCCTCTTTCTGTCCGCCGTTCTGTGCTCCTTTCTCTCGCTCTCGCTGTTACATTGAAAACATCCAACAGCTCGTTGTTTCCGCTGTGATGGTACGCCAGGCGCCCCGCCACCAGGTCCCCCTGGGTGAACACTGAAATGGCATCTGTTCCTATTATGGCCTCCCTCTGTCCYTCGTTAAAGCAGAGCACGCCGTGTTTAGGTGGAATAAAGACCTCAAACGTSACCTCCTGGGGGTCTCGGATGTCGAGGTTGCTGGTGACACTGAGGTTAGCAGAAGTCAGGGATGCAATCCCGCCCTGTTGGACCATCAAACCTGTGCTGTTCTCCACCTGCAGATAGGGATCCTGTGCCAACACCTGTGCCAACCCAAATCAATCAAACRAATCAAAAAGGAGGAAATTACCTCTARGCCTTTCAGCTTCATTGTTACACCTGTCTTTCTCTCATTCACACACACAACATGGATTCMGTRTTGCTTCTATTAAACCTTTGGTTCTCTTCTCATCAGAGCACACCTCTACTTCTCCAGGCTCTCTTCCACCTMCTCCCTACTCTCACTACATATCAGAATGCCTTAGATTGTAACGATTATGGTGTGAAAAAATACAATGAAATACAGATTTAAAATATATTTACCTCCAGTAAAGCTGAAACATAATGCTTTCCATCTGTTACGAAAAGAACAAAACGTCCTAAACTCACTCCGCTGTGGACAAACAGCACTTTATTCTGGAGGGAAGAAGCAAAGAATAAGTAATAAATAACTAGAGAAATTGCATTTCCTGCGAAAATGCTAGTGTGCATGCTTCATGCTAAAAACAGCTGCTGAAATTGAGCTGAAAATATTTCATAAGAATTGTTAATGTGAGCTAACTTTGAAAAGCTGAAAGAAGCAATAAAGCCTAACTTTGCTGAAAAACAGTAAAAAGGAGCCCAAATCTAGTTGAAAACAGAAAACAGCTAAAAGCTAATAGCTAAAATAGCTGAATATAGCTGAAAACATCTGTAAGAAACATAAATAGCACTAGGTAGCAGAAAAAAGGCAGAAAAAGTAGAAAAAAGCTGAAGAATAATAGAAAGAAGCAGATCTATACCTAAAGTAATATAAAACAGCTAAACTTAGCATAAAATAAGCTAAAGGAAGCAGCGACAATTTGAATTTAGCACCCAGATAGAGAAAGTGTTGTAAAAAATTGTAAAACTAGCAAAAAAAATCCATATAAGTACAAAAAAGTGATCATTTGTAGCAAAATGGCTAAAACTGCTTAAATTTTCAATAAAACAGCCAAAAAATAGCTGGAATTTTTTTTTATCAGCACAAGGAAGCATAAGGAGCACAAGTTTGCTAATAGCAGCTAAACATTAGCTAAAATTTCAGCAGATAGCTGGATATAGCAGAAATCATCTGTAAGAAGCATAAATAGCACAAAGTAGAACAAAAAGTAGAACAAAAGCAGAATAGTGGAAAGTAGCATACTTTTAGCTGAAATGGGCGAAAAAAGTAGCTAAAATTAGCACAAGAACGTGAAAAAGAGCATAAGCAGAACAAAATGTGTAAGGTGCTGTAAACATTTTAAAGGATTTTAAGGATGTTGAAAAAAACTTCATTCATTTTCAATGGAAAAATGTGGTTAAAAAAGTGAAACAGCTAAAAAAAAGCTAAAATACCAAAATAGCACCCCTCACACAAATGATCTGAACATTTTGATATATGAATTGTTGAAATAGCAAAAAAATAATCGTGGAACAAGTTAGATGCCAAAAAAATGTACGGAAGAAAAAAATGGTTTAAATAGTGTGAATGCTTTGAAGCATTTTAATGGTATTAAATTTTGCATGCATTTTTAAGTACAAATCAAACTTGTGTAAACTTGTGTATTCAGGAATTCAATCTAACCTGAATCTACACAAAATCCCTCTGCAACCAGTGTCTTCTGTATGATGGTGGAATTTGCTTACCCAAATTTACTAAATCCACACATCAGCTGATTACATTTCTTCACATTTAATTAATAAATGCTGACCTGCTCGATGTCACGCTGTGTGAACTCAAACAGCCTGTGACTGGGATCGCTGGCCAGCACCAACTCCCCCATTGGTATCCCCCTCCGTGTGTAGACCAGCCAGCTGTCCTCAAAATCTGAGTCATCATCACGGTAACGGAGATCATTTAATGTCACCAGCCTTTGTCCATCGCGGGCCACATGGAAAATTTTATCCACAACCCTAACAGGCCTCTGGTCGTTGACGAGCTGCACAGAGATATTAAAGATCTGCTCCTCTGTGGTTCTGTCCTCCTTCTTGTTTGTGTGTTTGTGTGGTTTCAGAACAATAATTTGAAACCTGAAGAAATCCTGCTTGGTCTCGCTGTCGTCATGAACGTACATGATCCGCTCCTCCATGATGTCTTGATTTGTGAACGTCACAATGTTGTCATTGATGGACGTTGAGTTGGACAAGTTGATCTTCCTTATGTGTCCATATTTTGGATTCAGCGTAACATTGTAATAAACCTCTCGATTGCTCGCTGTGTGGCCGAACAAAGCGTCTTTAGTAATTACTTTGCTTGCTCCTTCCAGGACTGAAAGACCTTTGTTTACGATGGTGATGGCGGTTGACTCAGCTTTGATGTTGATTCTGAAGTCGTACGGTGTTGATGCAGCGTGCAGTGAAAACACCTGAAAGCTGAAGGAGTCTCTTGTGTCATCGTGCAGCCTGTCGAAGAGCTCGTACTTCACCAAACCATCTGTGATGTTCTTCTGGCTGAAGGTTGAATTCCTGGGCAGGACCTTTCGGTTGAGGAACAGTTGCCCTTTCTTTGGTACCATCAGAAGCCTGAAGAAGATCTCGCTCTCACTGAGTTTAACAACCTTAGCAATCACATGCAGGTCTTCAGGAGTTAGAACAGCAGTCTCAAGGCCATTGACTTCCATCTTGCTCCGTGTTAACTTTAACTGGATCCACCGTATCTCTACAGGGAATAAAACCTCCTCTTTGGCCTGGGAGTTAATGATAATCCTACATTTGAAGTAATCCGTGATGTTGGTCTGAGTCTGGATGCCACGGTAGGTGCTGACGTATCGAATCTTTTCTCGTTCTAGAAGTTTCTGTGAGAAGAAGGTAGTTGATTTCCAGCCGCCGCTTGAGTGTAACCTTTGAATCTCGCCATATTTTGGCAACTCTGTGACATCATACCAGATGTCAACAGTGTTATCGGCCACATTAACTCGTACTGCAAGGTGGCCAGTGGTAATGATGGAAGCTTCGCCTTGGTTCACCTCTAGTCCAGTATTATTCACCAGTCGGTATTCGAGTTTTACCGCCATAATCCTTAAAACTACTGTGTTGCTCACCTGGGAAAATACAACAGAGAAGATACAACACATGTAGGTGAAAACAAACGAAAGAAAGAATTGGAAAAACATAGATGGAGATCAAATTAATGAAATGAGGAGAAAAAAGAAATCTGACTCTAAAGAGATAACCTGTTTGAAAGGGATATATGTTTCTCTGTACTGGGTATATTTCTGTGTTTAAGTCTGTGTCTGACTTACCCTTTGTCCATCACTGACCCTAAGTGCCAGCCGTGAGGCAGAGACTCCCGTGTGGACAAAGCTGATCTTACCCTCCTGTAGATCATTTAGAGAGAACAAGTTGATGACCCTGGAAAGGAGACACCTTCATGTTATTTGTCACGTTTCTGTCTAACGTACGGGTGGGCAACTAGAGGCCTTACAGCCCGCGGGTGACTTCTGTCCGGCCCGCCAATGAACCTCCCAAAGAAAAACAAAAAAACACTGTGAACAGAAGTTGTCGGTTCAGCCCAAGAAGACAGACTGAATAAGCAAACTGAACTAAAAAGCATTAAAATAACTTATTGCTTTTTGTATCAATTTGATACCATATTGCAAAAGTTTTTGTATTTGTTTATGAAGATTGACATGTTAAAAATAAAATGAAACAATGTTGTGATTGTTTTTGTTTTTACTGTTTGTATAGGAAATATTTTCTTTTAGCACCTACTGTTATGATTGTTGTCTGTATTAATGTTTTATTTTAGTTTCAGTCTTGTCATCTGTTTTCTTCCTCCTGTTTGCCTTTGCTCCAGCCCCGCCCACTCTTACCTGCTCCTCATGTTTCTCTCCCAGGTGTTTCCTGTTTGTGCGCGTTAGTCTCACCTTTATATTCTCCGTCTTGTCTTCACTTCCCTGTCTGATCATTGTGCTGTTCTCAGCCTGTATGTTTCTTGCCTTGCCTTGCCTTGCCTTTGCCTTTGCCTTTGCCTTTGCCTTTGCCTTTGCCTTTGCCTTTGCCTCGCCAAGTTAGTTTTTGAGCTGTCCAGTCAGAAATTTTTGTTTAATAAATCTTTTTTGTCCTTTTGGAAGCTGCCTGCACCCTGGATTCATTCTTTCCAAGCCATTCATAACACCTACATCACATTTTCYTATATTTTTATAAATGTCCTTGTCCTAATTACTTGTAGAAGCTAATCAAAATATWCTGTATAATCTACTGCTCTTTATAATGGGTGAGGGGGAAAATGGAATAATAAGCAGAATTAATACAATTCTGTTTTCGGCTCTCCAACATAACTCCAGTTTCTCATTTGGCCCCCAGTACAATTTAACGGTACCATAAAGCTCTCTAAAACGATTTTCAAAGACCATTCATGGTTGCATCATTCACAGCACCCACCTGCCAGGGTAATCATGGTGCTCGAGGTACCCAGCTTGAGCGTTGAGGTTGCCCATGGAGCTAAACAGCAGCTCTTCAGGACTGCTGTCTGGGTCTGACACACTCAGCACATCTGTTGTCAACTGAGATCATTATAAATACATTGGTTTTGATTTTTTTCTGTTGAATAAACATAAACATTTGTTTCATTCACACATACCTTTCGTTTGGACTTCTCCAGCAGAGTAAAAAGGTTTCCGTGTGGCAAACTGAGTACAGGAGCATCGTTAACAGGACTTATGCTGATGTCAAACCGATGTAGACGATTGTTCCTCAGAAAGACTGGAAGCTCCTTATATTTGGAGAAAACTGAAAATGTAAAAGAGTCATTCTGGTCCTCGGAACCACTGTGAACGTATAAAACACGGCCCTGTCTCAAGTCCAGTGCACTGAATGTCCACTCCTTTCTCTCTTCATCTGTTGTGATATTCCTCTCTTGCTTTTCATCAGGCAACCTATCTGGATTTGCTCCGAGGTTCAGCCGGAGCCTGCCGTGAACCGGATGCTCCTCAATGCGGAACATGAACTGCGATGGAGAGATGCCAAGTCCATGAAAATCCAAATTCACCTGCAAGCAGAGACGAATGTCAAACGCTACACAAGACAACTCCGACAGACATGAAAGCAAAACATCAAAGGGTTTACCTTCAAGTGTTTGGYATCGAGCAGGGCGTGGCCTCCCTCAGCTACCTCCAGCTTTCGGATCTGTAAAAGYTTCTGGTTGATTTCCTGTGTGGTCGCCACATCAAACTCAGGAGGATCTGTTGGGTTTAAGGTAATCCCTGTCCTGGGAGCTTGCCCTACGTTACAGCCCACAGTAATGTCTTTGGTGACTATGGCATGAGGTAAGCCAGTTTTTTGAGAGTTCACTCTAATGTTTCTGAGGCAGCCTTTGAACGAGCCTTCTCTTCCTTTTGCTGGAACAGAAGGCAGTCCTGCTTTTTCCAGAGCATCGCCGTTTAGTCCTCCAAGAAAAAAGGGCCCCTTGAGTTGAATGTCCTGAAGCTCCTGACTCAGGCTGGCCTTCACCATTTCCTTACCTACCTTCAACTGGATGCTGTGGGGCAGCAAGTGCAGCTGGATGGTGTACCAGGARGGGTTGCTGTAGAAACGTGTCAAGGAATGCAGCTCCGTTTTACCCCCTCTTCCATTTCCAACTGAAGCCACTAGGTGATCGTCTCTTGTCTCYATGGCTACAAACCCTCCTTCACTTCCAAAACTATACAAAARCATGCCTCCTCCTTCTTCTGTGGAAGGGTACAGTTCACACTCAAAAGTTCCCTCTTGGAGTACCTCCCATTGTGGGAGCAAAATAAAGGCTTCAGAGCTGAAAAAATTCACAGGATCTTCTTCTGTTGCCGAAAACTGTGTACTGCAACCCAGCGACACCTCATGGATGCTTCTGTGTCCAAATTTCTGCTTGAGACTAGAGAGTAGGTTGTGCTCATTGAAGACAACTTCATCCATGCAACCTCTAAACCCAGCCGAAACAGTTCGAAGGTAGGGACGGTTCAGTCCAGCTGTCCCACCAACGAGGAGTCCGTCCTCAACGCTGAGCTCCAGATCTGGTCCTGGCATRCGAAGGTTTGTGTGAGAGGTCCGGTCCACTGTCATGTTGATGCTGTGGTGCGTGTGGTTAAGATCCACAGTGTGCCACGTGAGATCATTCAGATGGATGCCCTTTTCTGAGCGCAGGAAACGCTCTCCGGAGCCCAGGTTCAGGTGTACCTGAGGTGTGAGGGTGGAGACGAGGAGGAAAAAGGCAAAAGATGAAGATCAGTGCCCTTACATCGGTGACAAGTTCTAGATAAAATATTACAAAAGAATCAACACAAATGCGGTTGTCTTCCTCAACCTCAGTCATGAAGGAACTTGCCGTAAATCGAAGCCAATGCCAGGGGGGTTACTTTTCGCTTTAGTCGAGCAATCTGACACCGTGTTGCATGCCTTCTTTCTGACTCGACTCTGGATTGTAAAAACCAACATATCTCACCCGAAATGTTTGGCTGCCGTGTCCCCAAGGCATTTTTTTTTCTCTTTCCTTGAATGTGTGAAGCATTCCTTCTGGGTGGCTCTAACTGCTCTAGTCATAAAACTAACACTTAAATGTCCCGATGCATCTCAGTAATCCAGGTAGAAAAATCAAAAAGAAAAAATAAGTGTGTCCTCTGGACGGTTTCTTCTTTAATAAAACATTTCGTCTCTCCTCCAACAGACTTCTTCAGTCTGAGGAGTTTCAGGTGAACACTTAATTTAACACTTAAATGAATTGTATTTAACRGAAACAAAACAAAACAAAAAAAGTAATGCCTCTCTTTTTCCTGTTTACATACAAGCTACTTTTGATGTGACCTAATTTATCCAGTCTTACCTGCAGACGTCCAGAGATCAGCTCCAAAAGCCAAAAGTCTCTGCTTCCTGCAGCTAAAAACAGCAGCCCGGACTGGCTGGAGGTTTGAAATCGTACATGGATTAACGTCTGAATGGACTTCTCTACTGTCTGCAGGTGGATGTAGCTATTGCCGTAGAAGGAAACTGCAAAACGGAAAAGGAACATAGAGGAAAACGTTAAACCTAAGGTGTGGCAAGATAAAGAAACRCACATGTTCATTAAAATGATAAAAATGTCTGTCTGCTTTTAGCAAGAAGCTAAAGTTCTGCAGAATTAATGTTTTTAATTGTGGATTTGTGGTTTTGTTATATAATCTTGACCACTCATTAATTTGCTGATTTGTTAATTTGATGTGACTGATTCGTCAATGTCATGTCTATTTTGCACTCTGTAGCTTTTATTGGAATTCAATTAATGACTGCTAATGGCTCCCAAAGTTCATTAGACTTCACTGTTTGGACCGACACAACTTGACCTTTTAGTGTTACAAAATGTAACATCAATACACTTGTTGCTGCTTTTCATTGTGCACATTAGAGCTGTAAAATCCTATTTCCAATATGCATTAAAAAATATCTTATTCATTATGGCAATGGAAACTTGTGTGTTTTTATAAGGTTTATTGGCACAGCTTGAGCTAATGCTAACACACGCTAACATTCATCAGGTTAGATAGCTATTATCTTTAATAAGCTAACATGTCATTTATTGTCAAAACAAGTTGCACTGAAGTCTGAACCTGTTTGTACTATTGCATCAAAATCTTTATTATCCCTAATGATTAAAACAATAAGCACCAAATGCGAAGCAAACACATCTATGTGTTATTCTCAGTTTTGACAGAAGTGGAAAATCTGTGGCATGTACTTGCATTTAGTGAAGCCAARATACCTTCCATTAAGTGTGTATAATAAAAAAGTAAAGCTGTCTTTATTTCCATTGATTTGGCCTACAAAACAATGATAATGGAGCACTCTGTCAGAACCAGGGTCCATTTGTGGAAACARACAGCCAATAGAGGTCAGAGAGATCCCTCTGTGTGTGTCTGCGTTGTTTATTGGTGATATTAATAACTCTCAGAAACAAAAGGCACAGCCATTCGCAGCTGCAGTAAATACAACAAAGCAATTAAAGAGCTCAAATTAYGAAGTAAAAAAACAAGAACTGACTATATTCTAATCAGCTTTGTAATTAAACTGGAGATGGAAACAAAGCCAAGAATTTTGATTGATTATTTATGATTTTTTTTTTTTGTTTACATGAGCTGTTTCACAACAAGGACCATTTTGTTCCTATTTGACACAAACCAGACTTTTATATTCAGKAAAAAACATCCCATGCTACAGTTTTCAATTCTAAGTATAGGATTTGTTTACTATATTTGCATTGACAATAATTTAATTGCATATTAATGGTTTTGTGTTTGGCATTGTGCACCAACAAAACAAAACACAACAAATTTATTTTGCATGTTTTAAATTTTGAAAACCTATATAACCTATATATATATATATATATATATAAATTTTGAATTCCATTTATTTTTCTGTTTTCTTGCCAGCACAAGAACCATTTTTTTTTCATTCTGAGAATTTTTTAATTTGATTTATTTAGCCTAATGCTCACTTCCTATTTCTGGTTAGTGTCAGAAAGTGTTTAAGTTGGGTAATAAACGTGTTATTATGTGTGATAAGTCTGGTCCAGTGAGAAGCACTCAGTCAGCAGGCTGGCCCAGCATGCTGCTCTTCATAAAGCCCATAAACCCCTGGTCATTATAAGTGTCCTAATCTGTCTCTGATATCAGAACAGTGGATTATTAGTAATCTTCCTACTCTCAAACACCTTGAATGAGGGTGCGCGCTAGTTGCATACAAAGAGATGTGCACAACTGTGCGAGAGAATTTTTATTGTTTTATTTATTAAAGCAGCAACTTTTGCTGTGTTTGAACAAACTGAAATCTGGAACTCACAGAGTTCCTGTCCAAACCAAAATATAAAAGCTTTTTGTCTGTGCAATAATAATAATAATAATAATAATAATAAACTGTTGAGCAGCAAGAAGTGCAGAATGATCTTGTTGATGCTAACTTATTTATGTGGCAGAAGGAAAGGAGTTGTCCCAAGACAGATTAGACAAACAGCACAGCATCATCTCAACTAAACTCCTCACTATGTCAAAACATGTCAAAGTTTATAATCCAGCATGCTGCCATATGTCCACAATATGAGACTGGATTAAAACACTAACTCTAGCTGTCAGGTATCATTATCATCTATATTACCTTTATCTTGTAGCAAATTTTAATTCAGTTAACTTTAGGACAAAAAATCTGAATGACAAATTTAATAAAATACAGCTTTTTCAGTATCACGTTAGGAAAATCAGTGTTTTTCTCTCTCTCCCTGCGTCTTACCTCCATAAACGTGGCCAGAAATCAGCAGGAGAATGAGCAGATCAGCCAAAAACCTTCCCATTGTTGATGAGGCTCTTATTATCTAATCAGCTGAGACTGAGAGCAACATCTGGCTGCTCGGTTCTGCAGCTCGTTCCCAGCACGGTGCAGGCTCTGCATCCCCTCAAACTGCAACTTCCAAACACTTTGTGTTTAGTTTGATGCAGAGCAGGAATCAGTTTTGAAAACATCTACCTGAGTCTGGTTTGTGGGGGCAGAGCAGAGCGTGTAGCTCCGCCTTCAGCTCCGCCCATCAAATCCTGCCTGCGGGTGCAGTACCAAACTGGGACACAAGGGGGAAGTGTCAACGCGCTTACAGAGAAGGACTGAGAGGAGGGTTGAAGACACAAATGAGGCTTGGCAACATGGTGACCCAGTGTCCCTGTAGTCCTATCTGTGGGAGTGTACTTTTTTCTGTCTTTCTTTTTTTTAAATTAAGAAGTCTCACATTTTAATTGATTGTGTTTTACTGGTATTTTTTGGTATTTTTAGGTTGAACATGATCATTTTATAAATCTGTGTTTTATTTAGCACTGATGACATCATGCATGCTTCCACACAAGCATTTTATTTTACAATTTTTTTTATGATTTCTCCTCTATGATCGATAAAAACTTATATCCTGTATGCATTGGGTGGTATTTAGTCTGTCAGACATTCGTGTGTTTTATTTGCTTTGCTTTTAATCATTCTAGTTTATTATCACTACCTGACAAAAATATGACCCAGATTTTATTTTTCCCAAATTAACAGTTTGCGTTGCTCCTGTCTTCATGAGTCAGGTCTTTTCTACAGTTGTTACATCAGTTAATCTGCTAATAACCTTTTTTTTTTTTTCACAGTTGTAATAAAAGAAACTGGACGCAATTCTGCTCCTGCCTGAGGTTTCCATCTGGAAGATTACTGTGCCGAATAAACAAACAAAAGTCAGTGAACACTTTATTTCCTTCTTGGCGGAGGAAACATCTAACAAAGTGCTGTGAAGGTTCAGGATGTAGCGTCTCACCTCTAATATAAACAAGGAGAGGCTTCAGGTCYACGCGACTAGCTGGATCAGTGGTTGGCACTGATGCCTCACAGTAAGAAGGTCCTGGGTTCGATCCTCAGTCCAGAACAGTTTGTGTTTGTGTGGGTTTTCTGCTGGTACTCTATTTCCTCCCACAGACCGAAAAGCATGCATGCTYTAGGCCTCTCTTGTGATCTCAATGGGATCTGCCTGGTTAAATAAAAGGTTAATAAAGGATGCACTTATTGTACGTTTCGATGAATAGAAATCTGTGAATCAGTGCTCATTCAAACTGGCTTTAAAGGTTTAGTTCTCAGGATGCTGAAGCAAACTCCCTTAAAGGGGGAGGTCGCACCCAAACTGGGTCGAGCTGCTGACGGACRGTCTCAGGTTCAGTGGGGTGGCGTGCTTTAATGAGCTTGGGTCCCACGCTGAGAGGATTACGGTCCTGTTTCCTGGCCTGGAAAAGTCTTAAAAGCTCAACCTGTAAACATGTCAAAGTGGCATTTATTTGTAGTTCATTTCTAAAATGTCGTATTCGACCCGCAGCTGCGAATAAATCATGATGCTCATGAGTGGAACTTATYCTCCGAACTAATATTTCCACAACGAGGCTACGTCTAAAATCACTGCTTGGTTTTCACTTTCACATATCTGGTTTCTATAAGTGGGGATTTGTTGCTCTCTAACCTGCTGGAATCAATAAAACGCCTGGGACTAACTGCAGTAAAACAAAAGCTGAAAGAATAAACCGACTACTGAAAGGATGATGACAGAAAGCAGTTGAGCAACCTCAGATAAAAATGGCTTTCTGCACAATCGGCTGCCCAAAGGTAATGGCCTGTGACAGCTGGTGGTGAGGCAGGTGGTTTGGTGCACAAACAACCGACAGAAAACAGTTTGTTGACCCCGAATAGTGTTGGTGAGTCTCTGAGAGCCGCGGCCGGCTGAGGCTGGTACAACAGTGGAGGACAGGAACCACCTGGAAGAATCAGCCAAACAGCATGAAGCAGGAAGAGATACGGGACGGGGACTGATTTAACCCCAGCCGCAGCTAAAACAACAAAAACACATCAAGCGTGTGGAAGGACCAGCCTAAAAGGTCTCTGCTCCTCCGTCTTCCAGTTTTTTCTCTCTCCATGCAAAGAAAACAGTGATCCCGCTTCCCTCTTCGAAAAATAACGGATGCCAGTTTCCTTTGGTTTCCTCTCCCCCACGCTTTCCATCCTTCCTTCCTCACCTTTTGTATCCTAAATGGGTTCAAGCTTGCACATGCATTGGCTTCAGCTTCCWCATTATTATTGGGAGTTTGTTTTTTGAGCTCTAAGCTGCTAAACAAACTATAAAAAGCACAAAAATCGAGTCACATGATCCACCTGCAGATTAGATGAATGACTCACTGCTTTTATACGGAAGTTAGAAGAAAAAAATCCGTTAATAGAAGGATTAGAACGGTGCGTGCACTCTGCACGCCTTGGTCTGAGGTTTTTGCACATTTCATGTATGAATACAATACTTTCCATTTGTGAGCTGATTACATAAGAAAAGGGGCGGCAGAGAAAAGCCGGACTTAGAAACAGAAAGATAAACTCAGAGAGGATGAAGCATGAAAGATGTTTGTTCTTGCTTTGATTCTTTGGTTGTTTCACTTTATTATGAGATCTTTAATAAGAAGTTTGAACTTGTTTAAAAAATGTTGTGCAACACAATGCAAATCTCATAGGATTTAATTTATTTATCTATTTTTTGAAAGGCAGCCAATGACCTAAAGGTTTCCTCTTGCTAGTTTTTTTTTTTACATTGGTTTTGTGGCTCTTTTATGTGGTCTCCCATCCAAATACTAACCAGGTTCATCCCTGCTCAGCTTCTGAGAGTAGACAAGACCTGATGATAACAAAGTGGTATTGCAGTGTTTGCTCATAAAACAGTGCAAATCACTGCAGTTCATTTTTATTTACATTCGACATCATGTCCTTACTTTTCAAAATTGGTTAAGCTGTGGTCAGAAACTAATTTCCTCTAAGTTTCCTAGTTTGTAAAGTATGTCAGATCATTTCATACATGTGCATACTGCATGTGTCTCACGCCTTGTCAAATCTTTCAGGAAGCTTTTCAGAAATTTGATATTTTTTGCAAAAACATGAAATTCGACCAGCTGTCACCCTTTGCTCAGGGTCACCTTAGAGTCTTTGTAGATTTCAGTGTGTGTGTGTGTGTGTGTGTGTGTGTGTGTGTGTGTGTGTGTGTGTGTGTGTGTGTGTGTCATTTCAGAAGAAGGTGATGGCGGTGTGAATGAGTCAGTCTGAGTCATCGCTAAATCTTTTAGCTCATTTGTTACCAACATTATGAGCTAATAATAACACCTGAACTAACTTAGCAGACAAGCYGTCAGCAGAAAATTAAATCAGTAGTTTCCACTAGAGGAAATTGACTGATTTATTAATGGGTCTAGAATAAAACAGAACAGAACGTACCTACTACCATATCAAATTTTATCCAAGTATCAGTAATACTGTTTTTTGTTTTCCATAGATTCCTGTTAACACAAAGGCAGCAAGGCAGTCCTATGTCTGCAAAGCTCAGTGCGCTCTGATTGGTCTGTTCAGTGGCCTGAAATAAAACCATCAATCATTTAGCACCAGCTCTGCTGAAAACTGAAATCTGACATTCAAGTACGGTCACAAGTTAGCTAACCATTTTTAGCCTTGAGCACAAGAAGAATCATAAACATTTCTGTTTCGTTCCAGGAAATGATCYACTTTAAAATACGAAGGATCTTTACTGCAAAATGCTGTTTTGTGTTGAGACCAACGCTTACAAGGGAGATGAATTATCAAAGATCTGATTTCAGTTTAACAAGCATATCTACGCTACACAGTGACAGAGTTCTGCTGTTAAATTTATGATCCRTTTCCTGAAAAATGTTCTGAGAAAACAAAAAAACGGGCAGCTTCTGCAAGATCAGCACATCTAATGAAGAGAGAGGGAAATTAAAGCTTTAGAGAAAGCCTGGGTGAGGATCAGAGGAAACCGCCTAACAAAGAAAATGGAAAATGGAAATGTATCAGTGAACCTTCTAGGTTTCGCTTTACAAGAACAGAGTTCAACTCTGCTAAAACCTTTATGTCTCATGATGAGAAACAATGATGCCATGACCCTCTTACGATTTTGCTTTATTAAAGAAATTTAGTTATTAGAGATTAGCACTGATGTTAAAAGCACAACACTATATTGTTAGGTTTTCCTTTTATAATGTTGACAGTGTTTAATCTATTATGTTTTGATTGATAGATTGGTCACTCGGTTACAGAATTCTGGTGTTGTATTGTTTTATTCCTTCTACAAATCATTTTATTTAACAGTGGTGGTTTTTATATTGACTTCAGTCTTTGAACACGTATTTTCTTACAATATCATAAGTCACATTTAGCATAAGTGTTGGTAATGACTCTCAGCTACAACCACAACAAACTTTAGCTCAATTTCTAAAATAATTGAGTACCGGGTAATAGATATTTTGTGTTAACTAAAGCCAATAACTGAATAGGACAGGCTCCAAAAGGTAATCAATTGTGATGTGCATTCAGTGCTTCTTTTTTGACCATTTCATTAAAGGGSRAATATTATGTGTTTCTCAGGCATATATTTAAATACTATACCATAATAAAGTATCTATGTCACCTTTAGCTGTTATTAAAATGCTGTTTTTATGTTTAAATAGAAAATAAACTTATCTTCTCATCACTTCCTCTTCTAAACGCCTTGAAATTGGCCTCTGTCTCTTTAAGAACCTCCTTCTGCTTCTGTCTTGCCCATTRCGTTCATATCTTCATGTCATCTTCAGGATATTCCGGCTATGATTAATTATTCAAAGTAATTATTTCATTTTTTATTCTTTTTTTTTAAAGCTATTTTACTTTTTCAGCTACATTTTCCCCGTTGAAAATGAATGGAGCTGTTCTCAACATTCTTAAACCCCTTCAAAATGCTCATTAATATTTATTGTARTTTATGCTCTTTTTAACTTCCTAGTGGTAATTTTAGCTCTTTTTCTTTGCTAATTTTAGCATTTTTCTCCTTTTCAGCTAAAATTCTAGTATTTACTGCTATTCTTCTGCCAATTTCTACTTTTTGTGCTTCTTTCTGCTAATTTAAGCTTTTTGTGTTTCTTTCTGTTGCTTTCTGA